TCCTGTTGTATTTGCTTTGTAGTGCAAGTTGCATTGATCTACATTCCGACTGAAGCCGAGAAACAATTGAAGTTGCTTACTCATATATTATCCCTCAAGGTTTGGCTAGTAATGGCTCAGCATCCTTGAGGAAATCCACTGTCACCATAACAAGACGCTGTACAGCACCGTATACAAGCACTGTCAGTGGTTTTTAAATAGCTTTATACGTGTTTATCAACTTACTCGTACGGAACAACCATGCAGTGACAAATGTTGGGCTCTGGCTGACTTGGGTGCAGTAAAACAAATCTGCTTGACAATGACCAATATTAATCTGTATTCAGTTGAATTCATATCTGGTATTACTTGCAATAAAAATGATGTCAAAATCATAAAAATAAATCACTCATTTTAAATTAGTACCCAATTTGAACATAAAACAAGATACGATGCCGCACACAACAAAGTTATATGGAGGAATTGACTTCAAGCTTTATTTTTTCCCCAAATATTTGTAATCCAGCCAAAACATACTTGGCTTTTTCTCGTTAATGCGAAGACAATATTTCTATATTTCTTTATGTGCTCCATTGAACGACTAACTATAAGAATGTACTCACTAACTGATGTCAGAGAGGACAGCAACCAGGTAATTTCACCATAAATCAAATTCATGTAATTTATATAATACTTATCCATGCCTGTACAACTGGTGTGTCCTACATAGATAGGAAATATATATTATTATTGGCACAGACATACTCAATCATTATGATTTACTCGTAGACGTCCGCCGAGAACGAATAATTGACAACACTACCAGTCTGTCCATAAAGGGCATCACCTACATAGGCCCCAGCTTGTCAATCATTAGGATGAAAGCAATCCTCGATCCAACTTTTCAACCGATTGTTGACAAATATCCGGAACTTAATTGTTCATCTGATGATCTCCCGTGCATAGTCAGCAATGTTATGCACCACATCATAACCTCGGGACAGCCCGTGACATATAAAGCACGACGACTGGCCCCTGACAAACTGAGAGTTGCTAGAAATAAATTCGACCATATGCTCACCCTTGGCATCATTCGGCCATCGAATAGTCCATGGGCATCCCCCCTGCTCATGGCACCAAAAAAGGATAGCAACGATTGGCGACCCACTGGTGATTACCGGCAAGTGAACGCCAAAACAAACTCTGATTGCTACCCTTTGCCTCACATACACGACTTGACGGCAACGTTATCTGGAGCATCTATATTCTATAAAATCGACTCGGTTAAGGCGTATAACCGAATCCCAATGGCAACGGAAGATATTCCGAAAACGGCTATCATTACGCCTTTCGGACTTTTCGAATTTCTACGTGTGCCATTCGGCCTCCGGAATGAGGCCCAAACATTCCAACGCTTCATCGATGAAGTATTCCGTGGTCTCGACTTTGTATACGCATACTTAGACGGCTGCCTCATTGCCAGTCCAGACAAGTAAACTCACCTTAGACACTTGGACTTGGCATTTGGGAGGTTACGCCTACATAGTGTTGCCACCAATATTCAAAAGTGTCAGATAGGCGTTGACTCACTCGACTTCCTCGGTCACACTACTGCCCGCCAGGGCATTCGCCCACTGGCTACTAAAGTCGAAGCGATAATGAACTTTCCGGAGCCAAAGACAGTGAAAAGTCTTCGCACTTTTAACGGCTTAGTAAGTTATTACCGACGGTTAACTCCCAACTGTGCTTCTCTGATTCAGCCATTAACAGACCTTCTTCGAGGGAATAACAAGTCTATCGAACTCGACGCGTCTTCTCGAAATGCTTTTACTCAGGTAAAGAAAGCTATTGCGGATGCCACCCTTCTTATGTATCAGGATCCAACGGCACCATTAAGTATCTCAGTTGATGCATCAGACACTGCAATCGGCGCAGTTCTGCAACGACTAGTAAACACAGAGTGGCAACCACTCGCCTTTTTCTCCAGACGCCTTCAGATAGCTGAAACAAAGTACAGCACATTCGGAAGAGAACTTCAAGCTATGTACAGACACCCTACTATCAAAGGCAGACAGACCAGTAGGCACTTCACCAAGCCGCTCGGAAGATTTTTTTCACCCACAAGGGAACCATCGAGATTCTTTACTTCCGGCTGGTCCTGTCTTAGGGTCCTCACAACCCCACTAGTAGGGAGTGAGCTGTAGCGGTAAATAATTCCACAAAATTATTGACCACAGCAATCATCACTCAACATTGGATGCTGACCCTCACTGTTTAAGTCGACTTGTTTAGCTGAAAGCTTCCGGTCAAGCATCCCCACCATTTGGTACTCCATCTGGTCACGTGCGTGCACGGTCACTAGCCAGCTAAGCATTCACTTCAGCCCACGATTTGGTCCCGAAATATATATCGTACTTTGGACGACTAAATCTAGTCTTTTGCTTTGTCTTTGGTACTCGAAGAGCGAACACTAGAGAAGTTGTTGGTATAAGATCTTGCGTTAGTATACTCCGTACAATTCGTGAACGTCGATAACTTGAACCTCTGGTGCTTCTTCTACATATCTGTTATATGTCTGTCATCGTTACTTTGGCTGAATTTTTCATCGAAATTTTTTTCGATAACGGCTTTATAGCTGCCTATATATCGGTTTTGAAATCCAAGTATATTTCATCAGCTTCCTTGGCTCCTACTGGTCCCACTGAATTCACCGTTTATGATAATGATAGTTATAATAATAATAATGATAATAAATGTCAGTATTTATAATAAGGGGAGAATAGAATAATCAGAGGGATTTGACAATCGTGTGTATCTACTAGCGTGGTTACCACGTCGTTCTTGTGTTTATATCTTAGGTTTCACTGTGGGTGGTCAGAGAAGTCCATGGATCTAGAGGAACTTCAAATAGTTCATCTTTCTTGAAGTAGTATAGAAGATGGCTGTGAGAAATCGATGTTTGAAGGAACAAGTACATGGTGCCCCATTTTGTTGATTTGAAGCATTTCTTTAGCAAGGATGCATAGTAATAATTATTTGCTTTACTCCAAAAACAGTATTAATAGTGTTGAATTTTCAGCACTGTGGTGGCACATTATTGCATATAATTTACTCAGTAGCAGTAAAAACAAAAACAAATGACATTAAAGGAATGGTAATAACAGCTTCATTGGCATTTACGGTGATAGCAAAGTAAAAGATGTCCGAAAAGTGAATATGATGCTTACAATGTTAGCAGCTAAAACTGTAAGTTGATTGAAATAGCTCCATCGTAGACTAAGGGCAAAAGAGTGTTATTATTCTTTCATTACTTAGGTGGTGTTTGAGGCCATAGGCGGCCAGTGATGAGACACATGGAATAGCTACTATGAGAAAACTAGAAATGCCACCATTAATAAAATTCTAGAGTATTGACTAGGCTACAGAAAGTAGTCACCATGGTGCGATCTGACATTACTAGTTATTATGTGAAGTAGTTATTCGAGTTGTTCAATAAAGGGAACATGTTTCTTACTTAGATGACACGAAGATAAAATCTACTACTCACCAAATTACAGCAAATACGCAGCTTAGAACAACGTCAGTCTAACAGAGAGTTTTTATTAGATGGTTGGAGGCAATCGGCAGGAAGCCTTGGACCTAGGTTTCGTGCTAGTTGGCACTCATCAGCAAGGCGTATCTGCAACCTTGAAGGAACTGGTGTCCCTCCTGCACCGTAATGGCCAGCCACCTAGCATGGTGGCCACATTGCAAACATGACTGATAGAATTCAGTCTGCACCGAAGATAGGACTAGACACATTACACTAGTTACAGACCAGTGTGCAATCAAAAATAACAGAGAGTTTAAACGATCGTAAGTACCGTGCAGTATAATGTAACCACTATAGTTGCAAGGAGACGAAGTCATCAAACTGATTGCACAAGAAACAAATATGGTGATGAGCGCTCTCAAGTTGTATGAAAATGAAAAATCACCCCTTTCTTACAGCTATAAAAAGGGGAGTGGTTATTTATGCACCTAGTCACCACGCCAGCGGTTTCAAGACGAGGAAAAACAAGGCATCCTTTTGCCGTTTCACTGGTCACATTCGTGTGTAGTGAATATGGTTTCAATTATAATACTGTTGCAGATCCACGTTTTCACGTTCCACAGTGCAGTCACGCTGTATGTAACTAGATATCAAATAACGCTGTATCGAATGACAGAGGTGAAAACTTGAAAAGAGGTATTGTTAATGAGGGTGAGGCGAAAATATGCGAAACCGCGCAAAATATATAAATATAACAAAGGAAAGCCAATGTTCACACTGTATCACACTGACAGTGATACGAGAAGCAAAAGTAAAATTAGTTACTATAAACGTATAATATGGGTTGATGTTTCAGTTTTATAGGTTTATAGTAAGAGTTACATGGCTGTGTTACAATATCAGGGACTAAAAGCTATGGAGTGAGTTCACGAAGAAAATCTCACTATATCGGAAGCTGAGTTTTATTTTTGAGGGCTACGAAGGCTGGAGAAGCCCGAGAAAGCCCTTGTCCCCTCAAGGCGATTTGTTTGTATGATAATTAATTTCAAGTGGAGACGAGCTGTTTTGGATTCAATTTATTTCTGTCTTCTCACTTCTAGCTAAAGAGCACCTCGGTGGTCGTGGGGACTAGCAAAAGCACTCCATATAGAGCACTTGTTTCAAAACCCTCCCACTGAGTTCTTCGACCTTCATAAGTATATATAATTATTAAACCCTGACTACATAACGATAGCTAAGGAATGAATAAATCCTGCGAACATCAGGTACTGAAGTGTGTAACATGGAAAGTTCACGAAAAAAGTGCTTATTGCCAATGACTAACACAGAATTAGGTGACACTGCATAGCAGGCGGAATAGGAAGGAGGATTCAACCATGCGAAAGTCGACGTTATTTGGGGGTCTATACACTATCTGTCATCTCAAGACTATATTACAGTATACTTAAATACCCAACAAAGGTATGAGGAAGTTTAATAACGAGGGTCCCTAAAGTATGCTGCATGTACGCGCATCAGTGTGAAACTACGGTACTACGAATGCTTTGGATGAAATTTGTATTACACCTGTTAAGTGGATGCTTGAACAAATGGAAACGGAGTAGGAATACGAACTATGCAACTGAAACCTATTTTGATACATATTTTAATTTTTTTAAAGATTCATTAAGCTTTTTACGACTGTTATAGTGAGAAGTTCCAAAAATTCAGTGAAGCATCTATTGGAACATATAACATAAATAAAAAGTTCTCATGCTTTATTCAAAATTAGGATATGTTTCTGTCAGTAGATTGCGGGCAGCTTTAAGATTCTAGTGTCTGTTATGTTGTCTGTCATTTTAGTTTTGTACATTATATTGCAAAATGTCAGCAGCATACCATATGATGAGATAAAAAATGTTGTCTCCCTCGATCCTGAAATATTTGATGAAAGAACTTCAAATGGAAGCTGGCTTATTATATTTTACCGAAAATCCTGTGGACACTGCATACAGTACTCTCAAACCTTTCTAGAACTTACAAAATCTATTGAAAGTATCGTCTTAAAAACTTCATAAACCAAAGAAACATTAATAACTCTTAGATTGGAGATGGGTTCTTAATCTGGGCAGTGTTGATTGTGAAAATGAAAAAAATATGGTTTTATGTGAACGGTTCGATATAGAAATGGTTCCCACTCTTCAGGTTAGTGTCTTGTTATCTAATTTTGTAGTTTCTTTCCTCAAAAGAAGGCCAACAAATATCAGAAAAAATTGTAGCCTACATGGAAATAGATGATTTAAGGCACATAATTGCTTCCAAGTTACTTAATGTCTCTACTCTACAGCTTACAAGGTAGCTTTGGTATCTGTTTACGCATTTTTTTCAGAGAGTTGGCTGTTAACGACCCTTTTATAGTTACAAGTAATAGCGCAGTAACTAACGCACTGGTAAGTGATAAGTTCTCACTAAATTGTTTCTATCATTCACTTTGCAATAAACACTTTTATATCGAAGCAGTATTTATGAGCATATATTACTCTGATCATTTTGCTGAAAAATTTGTTAATGTTATATATATATATGATGTTGGGAAACACTGTATACTTTCATTGAAGAGAAACTATGTTAGACTAAGCAAGTGGAATCTGCTGTGTGGTTATCATTATTAAGTTTAACTTTCTCTGTATAAAATATATGAAAACCCTTAGCTTGTGTTGTAGAAATTTCGATTATTATCATGCACTTAAATTATTGGTAAGTGAACTTATGGGTACTGCAAAATTTTTCAGATTCTCTTATTATTCGGTCGGTGTTTATCAGACGTTTCAAATATGAAGATCACATTATAGTTGCACCCCTAAATTTATCGTAGCAGGCCTTTTTAAGCCCTTTGTCTATCTATTCATTATACTTTTGAAATGAATTATTCAAAAAGTGGAACTTTTATTCTTCTCCCCTAGATAACACTGGATTATAGTTTGCCTTTGAAGCGACGGTTCACCAGCATCACGAAGGAAGAAGCGACGGATATTGAGATCAAAAGTTCTCTAAAGAAATCGGTAGTTGTCAGGTAAGTGAAATGGAATCTGTCTGATGATCAACTCTGTTCTTGGATATTCTGATTCTTGTGTGCATGGTAAATGGATGTAGCATAATCTGTAGTTTGGAATGACAGGTAATACCTTATATTATGACCTTTTACTGTCAGGCTTTTTGTTGAGTAGACATATTTGTTTTTGTTTGTTGTAGTGATTAAATACTTTGATGTGTTGATGCTATTTCATTCGGAAGGGATTAAATCTGCTTGATTATAGTTGCAACTTAGATCCAAAAAATACTTTTAGATTATGAATGTTTTGATCAGTTTCAATGAATGGGAATGTGGTGTCCGCTTCGAGATGGTGGTACGTAGACTAAGCTGGATTCCAACGGTACACGTTTTTGGCAAATTTCGAGTATTTAGGTGGTGTTGTTGAGATTCTGTAGTTGGGAGACGTTTTACCCGAGCAATTTTTACTTTTTGTTACTCATGTCTCCAATTAAAGATAAGCTGTATACCAATTTGTCCCCCACGTGGGCAGTAATCGCATGTTCTTTTATTTCGTCAATGTTTCAGTGTAATTTTTCTTTTGAAAGGTCATTTTCTGATATATTTTAACTTTATTGAGAGTAGTTAAGATCTCTTTTTTATGGCTGTGATGTTATACATTGAGTTATGCCTAAAGAGGAATTATCAAGCTACTTTGGTCACTAAATTCCGTTTGCAAATTATTAGCTGAATTTTATTTGGTGCATACAAACACAAATGTCATATGAAATAACATTGTATGTTACTGATAGAGAATACAGTGTTTTAACAGTCTGTTGCTAATTAGTTTTAATTACATCGTAAGAGGCACTGCAATTCATAAACTATGGTTATCTTTCGAAATAATAATAATAGTGATTATATTTTCAAAATTTTAACGTGTGAAGTAAAGATTGTGTCATTTCAGACTTTACTTAGTTACCTAACTATTTGGCTTATCTTTGAATATTGTTTGTCGTCCTGGTATTCACTATTATCACTCTACTGAACTTTGGCTGTTCAAGATAGTTTCGAATATAGTTGACCTGAATTATTTACGCAACATTCACTGTTCGTCTTATCTTACCAGAATAAGACTATGTAGAGTTCTCACTTTAATGAATTCAGTAGTCTCTGAGTTCTGTGTAAAATGAATACAGTTCACTGCTTGTAAATATGATGTAATTCACTTGTTTCAAATATGCGTCAATATACACTAGTGTTACTGTAATTTCTATGAAAAGAGAAACGGTTCATATTTATAATTGAACATAATTAAGTTGTTTCTGTTAATTCGCAGTTAGACGAATTAAAAGAGATTGAGAACCATAGACCTTTAGAATTCTGCTTTGGTAGCTAAATAGTTTCCTACTTATGTTGTAACCTAATGATCATGATTCTGTGCTTCTGAAGAATAGTCACTTGGAAGAAGCGATTATCTGCTGCCGTTTGGTTTTAAATGGTCGTTCCATCGTATGAGTTTGTGACTAAATCATCCTTGTTGAAGTTATTCTTATAGAATGTTTGCCGTTGTAGCATTTTAAATATTTCTATAGATAATTTACGAGCTTCACGTGGTTCAGTTGTATGTTTGTTTGTGACTGATATAAAGCGATTACATATATATATATCTGAGGTCTGAATACATTTTTCACTAACATTTCAACCTCTTATGATCTTAAGTTTTGGTCAGTAGAACCTACAAACAATAACAAATAATGGTTGTATTCATGTCTAAGAAACAGAAACTAAGATTTACTCATCATCAAGATTTAGATACATGTAATTCCTGTGATTATGGAGTACAAAGATGACTAGTCAAAGTTCCGAAATTTCTAGTGCATAGAAGTCGTGGACGACAGTGTAAAAGGTGCCTTTGAACTCATGCAAATGAGAAGAATATAATGGCTCTAAATGTCTCTTTGTTAATCGACAAAATACCGTTGGTGGAAGCAGTAAAAGTCGCGTACCACTCAAAACCTTTATTATTGTTGCGATCCGTAATGAAATCTACCAGTTTTATTACTTACTAATAAATCAGTATCATTGAGTAAAATTTTTACATTTATTAAGTGTTGTGTGTTTGAGTGAAGTTCGAGGGAAGTCTAATTCGAACTTATATTGTTCGCTTATATCTCCTTTTATATCTAAATACATTATAGTCAAATATTGTCATTCTTGTTGTTTTGTCTTTTCGTGATGTTTATAGAGGTACTGGAGAAGAAGTTAGAAAAGTACTTGACCGAATGTCGAATATATTACCAAGTTTGGAGGAGGTTCCCGAACCAGATGTGTGAGTTTATGCATATGTGGCTATACCTGCTTATTTGTAGTTTCTGTTTTGATTTAGTTTGTCGTTCTGATTCAGGTGGCAAACATGTATGACTATTGAGAATTGGTTTCTTATAGTACAAAGTTAAAAGATTTAAAAATTAAGTAGTAGTTGTAGCTAATATTGTAAGCGAGGCTTCCTTTAATGACTCTTTACATGCCTTGAATTAGCTGAACATAGTACGTAAAACACATTCGCTAACTAATCTTTATAACAGTAAAATGTTAATTCCCATGTGTGTACAATAGGGGTGAAAATAAAATAACTCAAATGAAATTAAACCTTGCCAATTAACACATGCAGATATAAGTTTTTATCCGAAAACTTTTATTAAATGGCCGTCTGAATTTTAAGTCATACTTCTATTCTCCGAGGAACAGTGTTAGGTGAGGTAGAGCTGACTTCTAGAGCAATCAGAGACTATCACATGAAAGCATGGCATTAAACTGTGAAGTCACTGACTGTTGTTCTAAGTGACATAATTATTATAATAGTATTATTCTTCCCTTGTGGGACGTAGGGTTTCAACAGCACTCCTCTACTTTGTCCTATTATCTGTGTCATTTTAAGCTAGTCCCCTGATTGCCCATAGTTTCTCATCTCCTCCTTGCACGATCTCTTCCATGCCAATCTCGGACCTACTCCCGATTTGTCGATTCTTATTTGGGTCCCACTCGAGTGAGGGCCTGGCACTCTTTGTCCCGCAACGGCCTCCTCAGCGAGTATCCGATTCAGCTCCGTTTTCTTCAGAATATTCGTCGGACAATGAGTTCTTGATTGGTTGGTCCCCAGAGTTTCTTGTTGCTAGTTATTCTTGACGGGCCTTATGATCTTCATTACTGAGCCAGCGAAGGCAGCAGTTGATGCAAGTCTACATCAGGCTGTTCGAAATGCTTTTCGTGACCCGCTAGCCAAGTTTCTAACTCATATGGAAGAGCTGACTTACCAATAGTGTTGAGAATCCGGAATTTGTTGATCATAATGAGTGTAGAAGATTTTCAAACTGGTTTGAAAGTGATGGAGGTCTGTGTTGCCTTTACGATTCTTGTTTTGATACCATGATCCGTTTTTGCGTGTCTGTCACTGAAAGGATACTTCTTAGATAAGTGAATGAAGTGACCTGTTTCAAATTTCTCTCATTGATGGTGATTGTTGCTGGTTGTCGTTGTTGGTTGATATTTTCATCACCTCCGTCTTCTCTATGTTTACTTGATATGAGTCGCTACCGCTTACCTGCTTTGTGATTCAAGTTGTCAGTAGATGCTCAACCTTCTTTGAAATCACTCCAAACTTTTTCAGCCTATGCAGATGTATCATACTCACCATTTTCAAATAATATGGAGTTTGTAATGCTTTCCTATGGAAACCAAATGTATTCAAATCACAGTGGGTGATCTGCTTGATACCGTAAACCAAGAGATGAAGAGACCAGGCAAATTACCATCCTGGTACATACTGCTGCAAGCATTATTGTTTGACGTGCGTGATCCCCAGTCGTATATACCACCTTGACGTAGATGCTGAGAATATTCACTAGTCTACGTGGAGCTGTTCTTTTCTTCTTACGTTTTCCCTCCTTACAGTTTGACTGCATATCATTTCTCTACTTCTCTATGTGCTTTTGCACAATGTGGTAATTTGGGCTGATTCACCGTTCAACCAGTTTTTTTATGAAATCGTAGATTTCTGCGGATGTATGTAGGACCGTACTAATGATGCTTATCAGTAGTGATTTCCACCAGATTTTGATATACTTAAGTTAGAGGAATTATATTTATGGATTCTACTTAGTGATTTATGGTGGAATCTTCTATCGTCAGAATACTTACGCTGAATATTAATAATATAAGTGTTATTTATCATACCGCGTTGTGAGTTTACTTCGTTTGTTCTGTTATGTTACTAGAATCACACTCATATAAATACTGTAACCATCATTTGCTATGCATACTTATCGTATGGTAGTGAGTGGATTTTAGACTTTCCCACATACTTTTTGAAATTATTCTTGCTATACTATACGCAGCCGACTTTATTCTGCTGGAAAAAACAAAATTAAGGAGTGAGGAACTATGCTACAATATAAATTATTTCCGAACCAGACCGATAGAATTCCCTCTTCACTAAATGGAAGACTAAATTCATGACATTAGTTGCTATCTAGGGTTCAATCAGGTATCCATTACAGTCCTACAAGAGGTCAGCACTGAGTTACCTGGGTTCAAACCTCATAAGGGGCATAAGTTCCCTCGAAATTACAGACACTTTGTGAGTGCCAGAATGCACGAAACCTAGGTCTCGGCAACGCCTCCTGCCGACTGTCTCCAACCACCTAACAAATATATTATTTGTCTAATCAATAGGCTGATGGAAGTCACTTTTTTGATGTCATATGCAAATGTGATTGTTGAACAACATCTAATTAGCAGTAGTCTTTTCCGCAGAGAAAAAAATGTCCCACTATCTTAAGTAAACAGCAGTGTTAAAGGCTAAGTCTATCTACAATTTGCACATAAAGTAGTGGACACCCTGCTGTCTAAAGAAGAGGAAATTTGGGTACACGTAGGCGAACACATTGAAAATTGATGATAGTGACAATATGGTTTTCAATGCTTCCCTAAGTGATATAAATCCGTGGTCAGACTTGAAACAAATCAAATCCCTACAAACTAACTCTGGAAAATTAATCTGATACTCTCCAGTGACTGCTGCTTGCAGGATGAAGTTGACTTAAGCTCCAGTGAGAAGTCAAGATTGGTGGGTTTCACCCGGTCAGAAGTGAGGAGAAATATTCGCCTATGACATTGGCTGGTAATTGTGCTAAAATCACAAATCGGTCACTGAAATAGGATCCCAGTGGTTAAATGTTAACTGGGACGTCCTAGATTCGAAGCCTGGTGGGTGTGTACTGATGATGAGTGATAATGACTGATAGCTACTTTTCATTTCTAGCATCAGACTCACATTCAAAAATCCATGTCTGCATATATTTTTTTGTTTGGAACAGTTGAATCAAATCAAATTTTAGTATCTTATTTTTATTTTGACAAACTTATGTCTACTGAAGTTTTGTATATCACATACCGTTTTGCCATGGTTGACAGACAATCTTGCATGCTTATAAAAACGAATGTGATTCCAGTGTATTGATAAATTTATTGATTAGCTGAAGACTTAATGACTAGTCTATAGTGTACAGTATATACTATACTATTTTCATCATATATTGTAGTAAAACAAAACAGCAACAACAAAAAACACATCCAGTGATTTCATTCAAAATGTACATATACAGTAAAACTGGGTGTTTTAATGCATAGGCAATGAAAAACGCCTTGTGCTTTTTATCTTTTAAATCAATAGTTGTTTGGGTATTATTGTATTATTTTATTTGCACTATCTTTCTTTCTTTCTTTTTTTGAAAAAAGAAGAGGTGCAACCTCACTTGTGTTGGGTTTTGTCCATGGAGCTGGTAATATACACTAGTAGTAGTAGTAAAGTGAAATACAATTCTATGCATATTTTATTAGTTGAAATAAAATAGACTTCTAGGCTTCGAGAGATATATTCTATATTCATTAGGCTTTATGATTAGGTTTACTGTAACTTTAATGTGAACAAGGATGTTCAGTAGTATGCAGTGCATCTCCATACTGATGAGATTTTTTCTGGTTATATCCTGTTTCAAGTTTGATCACGTGCTGACATCATTTAGACAACCATTGGAAAACCACCACCAGAGTGTTACTGGACAGTTGTTTCATTCCAGTTTGGGACTGTTTTTAGCTGCACACACCCTCCAAAGGTTCGTAACCCCGAAGAAGACCTGCCAGTTAGTTACAAGGGGAGGTCGTAGACCATTCACAACCACTGAAATCTACTTCAATCGCCCATGAATTCCAACTTCTATAAATTCATGATTTCGACTGATGTCAACTCTCGTGATCGAACTTGAAACAAATCAATTCCCTCCCTATGAACCAATTCTGGAAAAGTTAATATTCGCATTTATTTGAAAGTTTTCGCCTGAATGCATGCTCATCTGAGTTGGAAAAGATATCATAAATGGTAACTTTTTGGAAGAGGCGTTGGTGTTAAATAATTATCCTATAAAATTCATTAGGAAGATCGAAAAAGGCCAAAAGCAAATTAAAAATAACTGTGAAACTAGTAATGATAACATAAATAAGAGAGAACATATGGCATCTACTGTTATACCATATAAGGAGGGAACATCTGAGACCCTACGTAGGTTTCTTAATAAAGCAAGAATTAGGGTGGCATTCAAACCTACAAACTCACTCAGGGATAAGCTCTGTAGGTTAAGAGACCCGGTGGACCCAATGAGACAAAATAGTATAATTTACAAAATACCTTGCAATGACTTCGAGGTCAACTATATAGGTCAGATTGTCGGAACATAAGAATTTAGCTAAGATAAGAATGATTAACCCTGAGAAGATGAGTAATTTAAAAAAAACTCAGCAATTGCACTGCATGCATTAACACAAAACCACACAATAGGGTGGGAGAGGGTTAAGATTCTAAGAAGTAATCTATGTAGGTGGAGAGAGAGGTTGATTACTGAATCCTGGTTCATTGAGTCTACACCCAACACATGCAACAGAAATGACTCAATGAAAATACCAGAAATATGGAAGATATTATTAGCGCCAGTCAAATCAGAAGAGGATAATAAATAATCTCAAAATTCTATTTCAATTCAAGTACATCACAACATTCTAACAAGTTACTTATTATGACTATAAAAAACACTCGTCTTATTTCCCATGTGATTGTAATTGATGAATAACACTCGTATTATTATTTCTGAATGTACATTATCTCATAATGATTTTTATTTAAATATCCAGTCAATTCCACACACGTATATAAATGAAGGAAAAAGTTGTGTGAATGACTTGATATGATTATGAGCAATAGTTTGTGCTCGAAACGTCATCAGTTAATACAACTGTACAACACTGTGTGATTTATCAAAATAAAATCTTAACCATGATGGAGTTATACTCTACCACAGTGCCCAAGTTTTATACTTGTAAAATGTTGTTAGCTGTGGTGTCTCTATAGGAGCCAGGAATTAAGTGATCACATAGGCTTTATTCGGGTTTTTAACCTCTTTTTACACTTTTGTTGAATTCAGAATCCATGTAAAAAAAAACTAATTAGTCTGTCGCCCATAATGAGAACCGACTCGATAATATATATTCTAATTTTAATCGTATATATTTTTTTCGAATACTTAACAGGGTTAAAATTAATGAATTTCCTACCAAATATTTGCCAGTTTATGGAGCTGATATTTATAGATCGTTAAGTATGTTGTTACAATCAGATGTTAGTGCACGTGGTGTTATACAAGGAACATCCTTGGCAGCGCTTAAACAATTTCTTCAGACGCTACATGAAGTAAGTTTTCTCTTTAAAGTAGTTTTTCTTTTCTAACAATCTATTTTACCAAAATAATATTCATTTTTATTGGATTAGCAAATATTCATGTGCGTCGGTGGTACGTTCAGCTGTAGAACGCTCGTCAGCCATGTCTCACATGGTCCCGGGTTCACTCATCGGCCAACATACTCTTAAACCTTTTTTAAGTCGATAGTAAGCCAAGTAAAGAGGGAAGATTAGGTGTGTGAGGCTAGTAATCCTCCTCATCCCCACCCTTGAAAAATAAAACCACTGCTACTAAAACTTCAGAGCTCTAGCTTGAAGCCATATGTTCACTCTGAAGGTAAAGGAATTAAATAAATTAAACGAATTCCATAGAACTTAATTTATTTTTCTTACTGAATTGGGAGGAAAAATTAGACACTATGGTGGTGTTTAGTTCTATTTTAGTTTAAAAGAAGAAGTGTAAGCGAATTATATTTGCTTTCAGATGATGGATTTTTGTGGGAATTTAGAATAATTTCAATGTAGTTTTTGTGACGAACCAACATCGTTTAGAGTGATCATTGAAAACTAGGCTGCACTGGACAGCTGTTTCTTCCTGGATCGAGGCTCTTTACCAGTGTGCACCTATGGCTCCACTAGGAGTCGAACCTGGGACTTTCAGCTTAAGAAACAAAGCTCGTTGACCATTCATCTATTTGAGCCGGAATTCAATCACCTGTAAAATCTAACCTCTGTCCATTCGTGATAAAACGTCACCCTCAACCAATGCTATGTTAAGCTGAAGTGGATGCTCCCCGAAGGCATTGGTTGAAGGTTGTGTCGCGAACTGACAGAAATTAAAAGTGATGGTCTACTGGATTTCGGTTCAAGTGGCTAAATGGTTAACGAGTTTGGTTTCTTAAGCTGAAAGTCCTGAGTTCGATCCCTGGCTAGGTCATAGGTGCGTACTGCTAAAGATTCTCAATCTAGGAAGAAATGGCTGTCCAGTGCTTCCTGGTTTCTAATGATCTGTCTAACTTATGTTAGTTAATGACCAAATCTATGTTGAAATATTGTTTTCAGTTAAATCTTCTTCAGACTTCACTTTAATGTACATAGCTTTATCTATACGAATTTTGAACCGATGATGGTGAATTTGTGAATCAAATGAAAGTGTTAAATGTTATAAATACTGTCAGTGATAACAACGATTATAATAACAATAATAAGAGTGGTAAAAAGGTCAACGATAGCAAAAGTATACGCAGTTGACTCAGGTAGTGATAAAAATGATGAAGACAGCATGATTGTGTAAACATTTCACTAATTTAATAAGGTCAGGTTCTTATAAAACTGGAAGTTACGTATTTTTGAAAAGACGTGAAGTGAATAGATATTCATTGTTTAAATAAATATGATAAATTAGAAATATCTAGACCATAGATATCGTAAATGTCCTGCGATAATTTCGGTGCCAAGTCACACTGATTCATTATAAAAAATTTTAAATAATCCCAGCATGTTTAGAGCTACAAAACAAGATTTTTCTGAATGTTTAACTGTGTAAGCTTTGGCTTCCTTAGCAGAATTAATGGGAATGTTATTTTGACTTTATAAACACGCTGAGATTACTTTAAATAATTTTATAAACATGACAAATCTATGAAACAGGGGAAGAATAAGAAACAGTCAACAAAGAAACAAAGTTAAAACAAACTTGTCTTTTCCTCCTCTTCTCATTGCATCAGTTGCATGTAAAAGACGAGTGTACATTCCGTTTGAAGGCGTCAGTGGCTCATCTTTCCCCTAAGCAGTGGTGATTAGTTGGCTGGAAAAAGATAAACAAAGGCTGGCAGCAGTATAAGTTCTTTTTATGGCTCTAAAGATAATCTTTGATATAGAGCTTTACTGGTCACGTTTACATTGAACCATAGCTTCATGAATAAACCTATCTTCCTAATAGCGCTCTGTTTCTCTTTATTGTACACATTGCTCATGTGCATCCTTATAAGTCCTTTAGAACATCCTATTTTGATTACGGATGTACGTTGATTCGATTTCCAAGGAATCACAGGTACACATCCTTCTTGTCCTATTTGTGAGGCATCTGGTCTTATGGATTTTGAAGCGGACAAGTGAGATACTGAAGAAATGTGTATATTGTCATACAAATGCAGTCTTTCTATAAGCATCTGTATTGAGTGAATTGACCACTCTTCTACTGAAGTGAACAGCGAGAAAATGTAATTTACCATATTGCTATTCACAAGTGAAAATGAATGATGGTTGTATACGATTGAATTTCATTAACATCCTGTTTTTATTTCCTTTCTGGTTAGGAAGAATAAGAAATAAGAAATTCATCAGCATTATAACAATAATCAGAATTCAGTTTCTCTATAAGTAATTTCAAAGGACCATTTCCAGACTTATTAGGGAAAAAATCTGTTAAAAAGTGGGCCCAATGAAGAGAATGTGTTTTTAAAATATGGTTCTTTCGGTGAATTCCTTTTCTATTCTAGTTAGTGAAGCAGGACTCGAACCTGGAACCTACTGGCTGAAAGCTAATCAGATACATGTATCAGCACAAAAACACAGGGGAAGGAAATAGCATAAAAATACGTCAGATAAAAATACACGAGAGAAAAAAAAATATATGTAGGGAAAGATTAGTAAACATTTTCGGAATCTGGGAGATTGCAAACAGTGAATATATCTGCACTATTAGGAAATATTTTCAGTCAGTCATTCAGTTATATGAAACCAATTTTTAGTGTAACGGTAGGAAATGAAAGCTGCAATGGGGTTCGTTAATAGGACGCTCTATGAATTTGTGTTGTTTGACTACTTTCGAACAGTCCTTTGAAATCCACTTCTAGGTTTGATCGAGTATGTTCACAGCTGAAGAAATATTCACCTTTAGGTTCGAATCAACCTTATATTCTGAAGTTACTTGCATCCCTTGTCTTTTGATTTGCAATTAGGAAGAGGTGATCATACTTCATATCGTAAGGACATGGTAATAGATTTTTTCCATTTTAATTCTTTATTAGTATTGCTTCACTTTCTTCTTGTTATTTAGCGTATTTTGATCCCTGATTTGGATAAAACATGAAGTATTCTGTTCCTCACGTAGGAGCACAATTTATATATTAACAATGAAAGAGCATATAACTGAGTACAAAATAAGATTGTGTGTTGAGCTCATAGTAGTCAAATCGATTGAGAAGTGTGTATCTAGGCAGCTGAAGTTCAGTCTTCCAGGGTGTGGATTTTCAACGTCCCGCTTAGAAGCTGACATGCTGACTATCCACTTCTTTAATAGGCTTCTTTTTCACTCACCAGTTTCACTTTCACTCAAGGTTCTATAATAATCTGTCTCTCTTCTTTGATCTTGACTTTTTCTCATGCGGAAATTCAAAATGTTTTTTCTCTAGTACAGAAATGTTATTAGCATGAGGATACGCTTTTTACACTCACTCCCGTTTTTACTGAATGGAATATAGCTCCAAAATTTAATGAATTCAAGTTTGATCATGGAATGTTATCAATTAGAGAACCATTAAAAACCAAAGAGTACTGAACAGTTGTTTCATTTTAGTTTGGGATGAAAACACCAGGATTCAGACCCAGGACCTTCCAGTTACAAAGCAAGCTCGTAGACCATTCAGACACCGACACCCGACTCGATAGCCAATGAATTATAATTTCTATGACTGAGTCGGATCCCATTGGCTGAATGGTATACAAGTGTGCCTTGTAACCGGAAGGTCTTGGGTTTGACCCAAGGCCAGCGGGTATGTACCCCGGAAGAGGCCCAAACTTGGACGAAACAGTTGTTTAGTACTCCCTGATTTTCAGTGGTATTCTAACCAATATCAATCTATGATCAAACAAATGAAATCCCTACAAATGAAATCCTGAAAATTCAACGAATTGTTTAATTCAATTAGATCTTCTATTTACCGGTCCTTTTAGAGAAATGCCCCCCTGTCTGACGAATTTCTTCAGGCATTATTCTTCAAATTAAGGTAAGATGCCATTGGGGTTATACGTTAGCACGTTTTTTTCTGTTTCAATTCCATTAAGTGTTTTTGAAGCATTCATAATTTTTTGTAAAATGTTAATACTATTCAAGTATTTTCTAATTCCTTCCTATTCGCTTTTGATTCCAGTTACTTCCAACTTCAGAAGAATACAAAGTATACCTATCAAAAGTATCTGCTTGGTTAAATACTAAAACAAGTATAACAGGTCAAGAATGGCGTGAATTTCTTAAAGAAATTAATGTATGTTTTGATTTTATTAAGTATTTCGTTTTCTCGTCTAATTCCTGTATTAACTTTTATACGTGTTTCCAATGAACTGACAACTTCTGAATAATAGTTTATACATTATAAACACATTTTGTTCTATGGTACACCTATAATAAATATATTACTTAGGCACTATGATGAGGCCCCGTTATATGACATTGCCCACAATATAAACAGCGTTATCGAAAATATTACTAGTGAAAGTCTTTATTACTAACTAAATGTATATAATTATTCTGAAGTTAATCTGTTACCAAAATTAAAATTGTTTTGAACTAAAACTATGAATTTTAATGTAAGCTATAAATAAGCTTATCAGAATGTCAACAGGAAAACACATGACCAATATTGTTTCCGATATGATAGGTATCTAATGCAATCAGTTAGTGGAGATGTGTTGTATTTGTTTTCGGTTTGACCACGGATTGATATGAGTTAGAGAATCACTAAGAACCAGGGACAGCTGTTTCATTCCAGTTTGAGACTTAACTCACCTGGGTTGAAAGCCATAGCCTTCCAGTTACAAGGCTAGCTGGTAGACCATTCAACCACTGGGGTGGAGTTCAATGGGGATTTTAGCGTAACCACCAGCCAATTTCATTGGCCAGTATTTGTCCCCACTCCTGACTTGATAGATTACACCTAGTCAAGACTTCTCACTAGGACTCCAGTCAACTTTGTCCTGTAGCCAATCACCAGATTAAATTAGATCAGATTAATTTTTCAGAGTTAGTTTGTCGGGCTTTGATTTGTTTCAGGATTAACTATCAATTTGATATAAACTGGTATCAATAGTTCTCTGAGTGATATCAGTCTGTGGTTAAACAGTAGGGTGCAGCAGGTCGGGTGTGAGGACAAATACTCGCCTGAAGACATTGGCTAGGGGTCGTGCTATGTCATGAATTGGCAGAAGTTAGAATTCATGCACTGGCCATTGGATCAGGTCCCAGTGGCTCAATAGTTTACGAACTCGCCTTGCAACCAGAAGGTCCTGGGTTCGAACCCGGGTGGTGGGTGCGTTCTGTGAAGAGTCTTAAACTAGGACGAAACAGCTGTCCAGTACTCCCAGCTGGTTTTTCAATGGTTCTCTAACCAATGTCAGCTCATGATGAAATCCTGTAACCAATCAAATCCCTACAAACCAACACTTGAAATGCTTAACTGTTGAAGATATGTTGTATTTATCCTGTCACGTGAAGGTTTGGGATGTGCAAGGATGCTTGTTAAATGAACTATGAGTGATTGAATACTATAACCTGGGTACCATACTGAATTCATTCAACTGCTTTTCAAACTTGCAAGAATAGAACTTGGGTACTGTGATAGAGTATGTTTCTATTGTAGAGCACACTGTGATACAGTATTATATGCTGATAACGTTACGAGCACAATTCATTGCTGCTCATGATCACATCAGGGCACCCACATTCGGTCGGTCGGTCGGTTTTCGACATAGAACTTTGCACATATGTGCGGCAGTTCAAGTCGCCACACTCCATGTAGCACACAAAGGAAGAGAAGAAAGTAGGAGAAATGCATAATATAGACAGTAAACAGAGGTGTGAGACAAAGGTATAGTAATAACGGAGAACAAAACAGTTTCACTGGAAATCATAAGTCACAAGGAGTGGATGCATCTGCGCCACTGAGAACGATTTTGAGCCATGTCACCAATTGTTTCCAACCATTGGTTTTTACCGTCCCGAGGACCCCAACCAGGAAGTCTACATCTTCCTGCGTGGCTTAAACTAACTGTTGTGGATTTCATTGACTGGTGCCATGTTTTCGTTTGACCGCCGCTAGCTCTTTTCCAGCCTGACCCTATATCAGCTAACATTGCCTGTTGTCGAGGAAGGCGGTGACTAGGCATACGTAGCACGTGTCCTAACCATCTCAGTCCATGTAATTTCACAGTCTCGTCGATTGATTTCTCCTCTCGCCTAACCTCAATATTGCTCACCTTATTATACCACACAACGTGGCACCCACATTATCTTCAAATTTCTTTTATGTGACTCTATTATTTCTTATCGTTTAACTTCATTGGCAGAAATATTTTCCACATCTTTTGTTACTGGTATTGTGTCACTCCTATCGTTTGTTTCAGGTGTGGATTCGCTGAACATAGAATCAGTAATCAACCTGTGCCCCTAACTACCTACTTTTCAGAATTTTAGCTATGTCCGACCCTCTTATATGTTTGTTAATGCATACATTGAGATTCTCTGATCTTCTTTTTCTAAACTATTCATCTTCGTGAGATCAATCATTCTACATTTAGTTAAATCCTTATATTCAGATCATCTGACCTTTGTAGCTGACCTCAAATTCATTGCAAGGTATTTTGCAGATTACATTATTTTGTCTGACTCGGTTGATAGGGTAGTATACCTCACACATCTAGTATCTGAATAATTTTTCTAGGTTTAAATGCCACCCTCATCTCTGCTGTATTAGGAATTTCACGTAGAGTTTGAGATGTTCCCTCCTTATGTGAAAAAAAACTATAGATGCCTTAAATTCTTTTTTATTTGTGTTACAGTCAATAGTTCCATTATTATAATTCTTTTTTTGAGTGCTTTTGTGATCTTCTTAATGAATTTTATGGGGTAGTTATTCAGTTTCAATACTTCTTCTATCCGTTTCATTTCAATATTTAGGTTTTCTGATGTACTGTTTAGAGTTACTGCTCGGTTTGTTAGACAATGAACTAAGCCTTAACAGAAAGTGGATCAGATGAATTAAGGTTTAAATATGTACTAGAATGTGTTGAATTTTTATAAACGCTAGTGTATAATTTACCTCATTCTGTTCATTTCAATTTACAGTCTAACATAGCTAATTCTGCTAGTTATATTTCCTGGCTGAAATTAAAATTCTGTTCCTTCTACTATTGAATTTATATATTGGATGGAGGATTTCATCATGAGCTGGCATCAGTTAGAGAACCACTGAAAAACCTAGGAGTACTGGGCAACTGTTTCGTCCCAATTTAGGACTCTCCATCAGTATGCACCCACCTGGGTTCGAACCCAGGACCTTCTAGTTGCAAGGCGAGCTCGTAGACCATTGAGCCACTGGAACCTGATCCAATGGTCCATGAATTCTAACTTCTGCCAATTCATATATGTTAAGGAACTCGATTTATGTTCTGTTTTTAACACTGTGAATGTTATTCACATATATTCAAGCATAGTGTATTTAAGCCTATACCCGAATATTTCATATGAAGTCATTTTAAATAAATGTATGAACTGTACTCAACCAATGTTTGTGAATAGGAGAAGAGATTATTCCCCTATACTATTTTCCGGATTATAAGATTTATGGAGATATCAGATTAATTTCAGTTGTTAAATTTCCGTCGCGAATCAACATAAGTTAAAGGGATCATTGGAAGTGAGTGAGCACTGGACATCTATTTCATCCTATTTTGAGACTTCTCATCAGTGTGCACCCACGACGGCGCCAGGGATCGAATTCTGGACCTTTACTTTACGAGACCAAGCTCGCTGACTATTCAGCCATTTGGAATGGAATTCAGTGACCTTTTAGTTCATTTGTAAACTCCTGAAACTGTAGTGGGAAGTCGTAGCTAGTGAGATGTACTGTGTCAGGGTGAAGTGAATGCTCACCGAAGGCATTGGTGAGAGCAACTGTATGTAACGAAATAATAAAGTTGGAATCCAGAGGTCATTGAATTGTAGTCCAAGTGGCTAAATGATCAAAGAATTTGGACTCGTAACCTGAAAGTTCTGGGTTCGATTCCTGGAAGGGTGGAGGGTGTGTACTAATGAGAAGTCCCAAAGTAGGACGAAACAGCCGTCTATTGCTCCTTAGCTTTTAGTGATTTCTTTCACTGATGTTGGTCCGTAATGGAGATCTAACAATTGAAATTTTCACTACTTTCGCTTACTAAGTTCTAACTGACAGTATCAAGGTTTTTGTGTGACAAATTAATCAAACATCTCACTTAATAGGAGTTTGCCGACAATGGAATATGTGAATACATATATATTATTTGGTGTATCATACGGATTGAAGCTGTTGAAACTTCCACTTTTAGTTTTTCTACTGGCAGCTTGTTATAAGTGTTTTGTACATATATTGATCTGCATCACACGTCGTACATTTTGTATTAATGTAGACTACGTTCAGAAGTCTTATGGTAATCTTGACTTTCGTAAAGAATAGGAAAATTTGTTTTGTGCGTGATTCTATGAAAACAACTTATGACATTTTCGTGTTCATTCACACTCTCTGTGTTTGTTGAACCATATTTGTAATCAATAAATCTTTAGAATGTACAAACAAAAGATGCTGATTACTTGTTTATTATTGTTTTTAAAGATGCATACATTCTTTATACCTTGTGAATTACTAGTTTATAAGTGGTGTGATTAAAAGATTAGTGATGACGTGGACACAAATGCATTGATTGAATATAATGATATATATATATATATATATATATATATATATATATATATATAATGTGAATGATTACTTTGCTGATCAGCTTTTCCGAAAGATATTATAAATATTTGTGCACTTTGTTCAGTTGGCTGAAAAGCTTAGAAGATTAAACGATTTTCTAACTATACACATTTGAGCTTAAGTCCTGGCTTTCTATGTCAGTTTGATTCATAGTATTTTGATTCAGAAATAGTAATGAAGTGCATCTCTGGCACAGTAGTTGGGAATCTTGCCGACCATGCACATGAGCCGGGGTTCGATCCCCTGCCGACGCACACGCGATATCAATGATAGGCCTGCAAAATTTGGGCTACCGATATCCATGCTGAAAATTCCATACTTGTACCGAAAATACGCTGTGGTGTCAAGCTGTATAAAAAATATAAGTAAAAGTATTTTAAGTATTACCTCTCTTACCTACCTGGGAAGCATCGTCGCAACTACAGGCGGAACTGACGAGGATATCAAAGCAAGAATCGGAAATGCAAGACAAGCTTTCACTACTCTCAAGCCTGTGTGGAGGTCAACAGCACTCAGCATCAAAAATAAGATCCGGATTTTCAACTCCAATGTGGAGTCATTCAGTGCTACTATACGGATCAGAAACTTGCACTGCGCGTCATAAAGAGCATCTCAAACAAACTACAGACCTTCATTAACAGTTGTCTTCACTCAATACTCAAGATCAGATGACCGGCCAGAGAAGATCAGCAATAGGGATCTGTGGGAGCAAACCAACCAGGAACCAATTGTGAAACAAATAGGGAGGAAGAAATGGAGATGGATTGGCCATACTCTGAGGAGACCATCAAGTGACATCACTAGACAAGCCATTGCTCGAGTGGAAACCGAAAGGGAAGCGGCGAGTTGGTCGTCAGTGCAAGGGTGACTTGGAGGAGAGCAGACTTGGAGCCAGGTGAAGACTCTAGCAGAGAACCGAACGCAATGGAGACTCACGGCTGAAGCCCTATGTTCCTCTAGGAATTAAAGGAAATAATAATAATATGTGCCTAAACTACCGTATAAATCACTGGTTGTCTCATGATATTACATGGCTAAGTTTCATATTTGTTAAGATTCATCACAGAGATATTTCTGCATTTTTCTAAAGATTAACCTTTTTTTGAAGTATGTAAATCTATGTAATTAATTAAAGGTGTTGGGAACTTTGTCGCTGACTGGTTTGAAAATACACTGTATGCTTATGTTGTACTACAGTAGTTGCACTAGTTATTCACTAGGACCAATTTATATAATGCTTTCTTCTGCATAATTACAGTTTAGGTGATCTATATATCAATGTGCAGTGGCTTAGTCCATAAAAGATTGTTTACCACACCATGTAGTTTTCTCATTTATTAGTATTTCAGACATTGCTGATAGATTTCATCCTTTCCTCCCGTTAACTTCTCATACTTGAATGTAAACTCTTCACTGCTGTATGTATCCCTTAATTTTCGAAAAAATTATGAAGCAGTATGAAATTTATCATACCGTATTATTGTTGCTATTACTGTTCCTCTGGATTCCTAGTAGAACATAGGGCTTCAGCGAAACAACTTCAGTTTGTTCTGTTTTCTGATGTCCTCTTAAGCTGGGTCCACGATTGCCTAGAATCGTTCATCTCCTCCTCACATAGTCTCCACCATGTCACCCTAGGACGACCCACTCGTTGTTTCCCATTCGGATTCCACTCATGCGACGGCCTCAACGTATGCCCGATCTGTCTCCATTTTCTCCTAAATATTTCTTGAACGCTAGGCTCTCGGTTCGCTTGTTCCCATAGTTTTTTGTTGCTAATTTTTTCTGGTCATTAAACCTTCAATAAAGAATGAAGGCAGCTGTTGATAAAAGTCTGTAGCCTATTAGAAATGTTTTTCATGATACGCCAAGTTCCTGGCCTGTATAGAAGAACTGACTTGACACGTGCTGAAAACCCGAATTTTGTTGTTTATACTGAGTGCAGAAGTTTGTTAGTTTACTAGTTCTCTAGTTTTCTAGCCGGTCTCAATCCCGGGCATAAAGAGAGGTTTGGGGCTAGCGACTGTATCTCGGGAAATCAATCAAACGGCTACACAAACTTCAACGTACAAAAATATTATTCAGTAAATCTCATTTTTATTTTAAAGGGTATGGCTGAGTTAAATCCGAACAGATCGGAATACCTCCTCACTAATAACAATCTTTGACTTCTTTGATATTGGTGTACTCATTCCTGTCAATTAGTTTAATTTTAGCTTTGGTGGTTTGGTGGCAGAACGCTCGCCAACCGTGCCTCACTTGGTCCTGGGTTCGAACCCCGGCGAACGCACTCCTAAACCTCTCTAAGCCGGTAGTAAGGCCGGTAAAAAGGAGGATTGGGCACCTCTTAAAAATAAAACCACTGCAACCGAAACCTAAAAGATCTAGCTTGAAGCCCTGTGTTTCAGTCAGAACTCAAAGGAATAAAAAAAAGTTTAATTTCAGGTTAGTTTATTGTTAATACCATGGCAAACTGTGTTTATCATATTGGCAGAAAATGAATTAGTATTTTGAAACTTTTGTGAAAAATTAATTTGTGTAGCATGTGTTTTCTTTTCCTTGTTTTATTAGTTCCCAATGTATACAGGACCATTTATTGGTTGTCGTGGCAGTAAGCCTCATTTCCGAGGATATCCGTGTGGTTTGTGGACTTTATTCCATGCATTGACTGTGCAACAGTATTTATTGTCAACTACTAAATCAGGTTGGTATAAAAATTAATTTTTATTCCAGACATTTTTTACACTAGAATAGATTTAATTCTCTGATTATTATTGTTCCCTTGCGTTCCAGCTGCACCATAGAGCTTGAGCAACACATCTCAACTTTTTTCCTGTTCTCCGCAGTCATCTTTAGCTGGTCCCACCATTGCCTGTAGGATCTCGTCTCCTTCTTACACGATCTCTTCTAGGACCACCTTGTCGTTTATCATTCGGTTTCCAATCGAGTGTGTGCCTGGCGCTCTTTGTCCCTCAACGGTCTCCTCAGCGAGTGTCCGATCCAACTCTGTTTTCTTCGGAATATTCGTCGGACAATGAGTTCTTGATTGGCTTTTTCCCAGAGTTTCTTGTTGCTAATTCTTCTCGGCCGGGCATCTTATCTTCACTGTGGAGCTAGCAAAGACAGCTGTTGATGAAAGTTTGAAGCAGGCTGTTCGAAATGCTTTCCGTGACCCGCTAGCCAAGTTTCTGACTCCTATAGAAGAGCTGACTTGCCATTGGTATTGAGAATCCGGAATTTGTTGATCATAATGAGTGTAGGAGATTTTCAAACTGGTTTGAAAGTGATGAAGATCTGTGTTGCTTTTCCGATTCTTGTCTTGATATCCTCATGTATTTGTTGCTTCTTCTATGAACTTGTTGATTTTCGCTAGGAGATTTTTAAATTTACGGGACATTAGACATAAATTGGTCACGAAGTACAGATCTGTTATTTTGATTATCTTAAATGTCATTCTTCTCAGTAGGCTAAAAATCAAATATAGAAATGTCTACGTACGACTGGTATTAATAACTGAAAAGTTTTCAGTAATTAAGTCTCTTTCATTAGTAACATAAACTTAATTTCACTAACCGACATGTTCAATTATTAATTACATTAACTGATGACATGCAAACAGAGAGTTGTACGTGGATACGATGGTCACCCTACCGACAATTTTTAGAGCTCTTCACAGTGTAACAAAGTCTTTTTCAGTAAAATAAGGTGGAGTAATATAGAGGGATAGGTAGAATACAAGAGTTAACAAACTCAGAAAGCAGAGAATGAGTGACACCAGATTGTCTTAACTTCCCAACGTAGAAGTTTAGACGAAATATATCTTTTTAGAAATGAACATGGTGTGGGAAGAAGACCAGCATAGATCAAAGGAAAGGCATAATCCAAGATATTTAAAATTCGACTTAGTTTCAACTTCAATGCTTTCTTATGATACAAAGAATCATGAGAAGGAAATAGTTCATGTAAATCACGTTTTTATGTGAAAGTGAAATTAAACAATCTGATATTTGGAGCCATTTAGTTTAAGACCGTTTGATAAGGACGGTTGACTTATTTCTGATAAAAGGCTATTCATTTTGGCATAATCTGTTCAAGATATGACCGGTGTGGTAATAGCCAGATCATCAGCATACTAAACAAAAGTGGCTTCATCCTTATGTATAACTAACTACTTTTTACCAATAACATATACTATACCTTTCACCGATGAATCAGTGACCTATTTACTGATATTTTGATCAATAATTCACAAGTTCATACTTACTAATAATAAGAAAACCTGATTTCAGTCATTAAATAACCTTAAATACAGATTGTAAACAATTGCTCGGTCATATTTTATTTTCAGATTCGAATAAGTTAATATACTAATGAAGTGGAAGTAGTCTATATCTAATAGTTACAAATATATTCTATACTTGTTATGCATAATTTTAATGCCAAATCAGAATGTTTATTCGTAAAATAATAATAATAACAATTTGCTTTATTCCAAAACAGTACTTGTGATACAGAATGGAATTCTCAGCATTTTTACTACAGTATTGCATCCAGTTAATACATTATCAATAAATAGAATTCTACATAGATTAAGGAAAATCTCAGTTCATTATGACAACAACATATTGGCATGTCGGTAGCAAAGCCAAAGTTGAACAGTGTTTGAAGGTGTTGGAAAAGTAGGTGCTATCATATTCACTGGCGTAAGCGGAAGAAAGAAACAAAGCAGGACATAACGGAAAAGAGAAAAAAGGAAAAGAAAGAAAGAAAATGTTGTACCTATAAATGATATGAGTTGGAAAGACGAGGTCCAGTTGTTCTACTGACTATTTAATGAGTTATAGGTGTCACGCGTAATACTTTCTTTATCGCATAGAAGACGAGCTAAGTAGGGTATGGTTGAGTTTTTGTACTTGCTGGTGAGAGCATATAGTTTTCTATATAGGCTTCTGGTTTTACCTGATGAGATGCAAGGGGAGAGTTGTGAGTGAAGAGGGTGGTATGAGTTAGATAAAATGGATTTGGCCCATTTGTGATCAACGAAAAGTTTACTTCAAAAAAGTGCTCTTAACTAATTCTTTTAAAACCAATATATATACCTTAAAATATTAGGATTCAATTTAATGCGTAAATTTATCCCACCTTTTTGAACAGCGATTTAATTTCCTCTTTTTATTTTACAAAAAACAAAACAACACCCAAAAAACTATCCTACCTTCAGAGCCTCAAGTGGATACAGTAGCACACGCTTTAAATCGTTTTGTTCCACAATTCTTCTCCTGTACCTACTGTGCATTTCATTTTGCACAGAATACAGCCAATATAGTAAAACCAGGTGAATCAATATTACCACAGGATCGTCCTACTCCTTCTCCAGAAGAATTTACTTTCGATGAAACAATCATTCCTACTTTACCGAAAGCTCCAATCACTCCAAGGGATAGTGTGCTATGGTTGTCTCTTGTACATAATCGTGTGAATAAACGTTTAGCTGGCCAATTGTCTGAAGATCCAAGTGCACCTAAAGTTCAATTTCCCTCTGTTGATATATGTCCTAAATGTTGGGCTCCAAATTCTAAAGGTGAATTACAACTGGGGAAAAATCCACAAACAGAAGAAGCCTATTTCCAGTTTCTTGTTGAACGTTATGAGAAATCATCATGGAATTATGACCAATTACCTGTAATGTTTATTTCAAATGATTTGTAAGTCGATAATTATTTCTTATTTAGTAATATCTGTAGAATTTATTCCATCTTTTAATTATTTGTTAGATAATCGGTCTTTCTTAGCTAGGAAAGTGTTGAACACTTAAATATGTCATATGTTTGCAGTATACACTGATAAGTCGTTTGAATGTTTGAGGTTATAGGTGCATCTTCCTGTGTTAGGTGTCAATAAACAAGAGACGTAGATCCAGTGCTTCTCGCGCTGATTACCTCCAACGATCCAGTATGCATGCTTACATTCATTAAATAAAGCATCTTAAGACCAACCTAGATCCAAGGCTTTCTGTTGGTTGTCACCAGTCAGCTAATAATATGGCCATTGTTTATATCGTTTTCACTAAAAAGTAATTCCATCTTATATAAGCCTGTTTATATGGACATAAGTATAGGGGGTCTGGTGACCATAAATAATATATAACACTGTATAATTATACTTTTCATAGGAATACGTTACACCATATGCCTTAATTCTTTTTTACATACATGCATAACAATGTAGTTAGGGTTGACAAATACTGTCACAGTGAATTCATATATGCGTTATGAAATGAATTTTAATATAGTTAGATCTCTCCTGCCATTTTTTGTAATACATTTAGTCAAGGTTTTTTCTATTTACCTGTATGCAAATCCAGTTAAAGTTAACACGTGATTGTTTGTTTTAGAGTAGTGTACAATTATTTCTAGGCTTATTTGAACATTTTCTGTTGACTGGTCATGCTAGAGCGAAATACTCGGTCTCTGTTGCCTTGCCGGCTGCCAGTACGAACTCTTCGATTATATTTAAGGATTAACGTGAAGTTATTTTGGTTGGTCGTGATTAAGAGCCAAAATGTCTACAGATACCCAACATACCCAATCAAGGGGAAATGCAAAATCAATTTAAAAACAAATAATAACTGATAACCGTTGTAAAAGAACTGGCCTTCATCGCTTAGTGGATTTGAGTGTGCACACCAGCACTCACTAGGAGAATACAGGTATATTTATCCAGCTGATGAGTCCCGAATAGAACGCGAAACGCTCATTTTTGATTCCAACTTTATTTTCCACCTAACAAAATAACTCCAAGCTTATAGTTATTAAGACTGATAGAATCTATTATTAAGTGGTTGGTGGCAATCGGCAGGGAATCTTGTCTAACCTAGATTTCGAGCTTCTTGGCACTCACCAATCAGCAAGGAACTCATATTGCCTCTGAGATTCGAACCCATGTCACCAAATGATGCTGTCTGAGACGTTACCACTATGCTATTGGGGATCGCAATTGACCTCCTGTAGGACTTTAGTGGATACTTTGATTGAAGTAACTAGTGTCACTCGTCTAGTCCTTTGTTTGGTGTAGACTGAATTCCGACTGCATCGCTGAGTGACACAGTTTCGGATTCCTTCAAGACTGCAGATACGCCTTTCTGACTGGGGAATGCCAAGAAGCACGAAAACTAAGTCCGGTAGGACATCCCAACCATCTAATAACTGTTCAGAGTGCACCGTGATGGCGAGACACCCAGCATATTGGCCACTTTGCAAACTTGACTGACAGAATTCAGTCAGTCTGTACCGAACAAAGGGCTAGACGCACGATACTAGTTACTTACCACCTATTGTTTAATGAAAGACTCGAGATTATGACAAGTTTGGTGTCATTAACACAAGACTCATTACTAAGTATACTAGTCCTAAGGTACACATTATTGTCAAAAACAAAATGGGCTGATAAAAACAACATAGACATGAGGCGCGAACATTGGAGATTCTAATATGATTTATTGAAAAACAACTATAAATGAAATATTTAGCACCCTTATTTCTCAGGGTTTAAATATATATATATCTCAAATGAATGTGTGAAATTGAAACATTTACTGGAAAACATTTTATTTCTGTCATAAAATATTTTACAGTAGTCATCAAAGTGATTTGAAAACAAAAACAATACATTGTGTGTGCGTGAAATATTTTCTAGAAAACCTGATTTTTTCTATGTTTATTGTATTGCGACAACTAACTTAATTCGAAGTTGCTTTCATTCCTTTGCGTTCCGAGTGGGATAAAGGACTTCAACCTGGAGCATTGAAGTTTCAGTAATAGTAGTGTTATTCCTTTTTACGAGATGGGTTTGCTACCGGCTATGGGGAGGTTAATGAGAGGGTCGGCGGGGATTTGAATTCCGGACAAGGTGAGGGGCAGTTAGCGAGTATTCTACTACCGAACCACCGAAGCGAAGGACTTTTCAGATGTATATATATATACATATATATATTTATATAAAATCAGTTAGCCTCTCTCAGCTGGTTAGCTTTTCACATTTTAGAGAGGTTTTGACCGAAAATCGCTTCCATCAGTGACATCTGCTGAATACGAACGCTATATTTTATAATAATATGTGTGTCACAGGATTTTCATCATGAGCTGACATTAGTTGGAGAACAACTGGAAAACCTGGGAGTAATGGACAGCTGTTTCGTCCTAGTTTGGGACTCTTCATCAGTACGCACCCACCGCCATGGTTCGAACCCAGGACCTCCTGGTTACAAAGCGAGTTCGTATACCATTAAGCCACTGAGACCCAATCCAATGGCTCATGAATTCTAACTTCTGCCAATTCACGACATAGCGCGACCCCTAGCCAATGTCTTCGGCGAGTATTTGTCCTCACACCCGACCTGCTGCACCCTACTGGTCACGAATTCTCACTAGAACCCCAGGTAACTACCTACCTGAATAGGGCAAGTCGCTAGTGAGCATCTCATTGATATTCAAGTGTTGGTTTGTAGGGATTTGATTGGTTACAGGATTTTCATCATGAGCTGACATTAGTGTCATTTGTCTAAAGATATAGCTAATGGAAAAGCTCCATTTTGTATATCTTTTATACTCAGCTTTAATTTATTATGTGTTAATATTAGGGTGAGCAATATTGAGGTTAGGCGTCGAGTGCTAGGTAAGGATATGTGTTACGCATGCCTAACCATCGCCTTCCTCGACGGGCTATGTTAGCTGACATAAGATCAAGCTGGAAAAAACCTAGTGGTGATCAAACCAAAAAATGGCTTCATAAGTCAGTGAAATCCACAACAATTAGTTTGAGCCACGTAGGGAGATGTAGACTTCCTGGTTGTAGTCCTCAGGATGATAAAAATCGACGGCTGGAGACAATTGGCGATGTTGGTCAAAATCGTTCTCAATGACTGGCACAGATGCATTCACTCTTTTTGATTTATCAAATTCAGTAAAACTATTGTTCTTCAGTATTATGATTCTTTCTGCTTCACACTTCTGTTTATTATCTCTCTTTTTTTGGATCTCTCTTTACTCTCTCTCTCTTCTCTGTGTGCTAAATGGAGGGAGAGTGGCAACTGGAACATTGCACAGCTGTGCAAAGTTTCCAAAGGTTGATTAATACTCAGTTCGTTTATCATTATAACCAATTTAATTGAGCATGCTCAATAAAAGTTGGAGTGGTTTACAAAAGGGAATGAATTTCTTCTGCAGAGAAGTCATTCTCTGATTTCTGTTGTTGTAGCGACAAAAACTGGCGTGTTCTGCTGCATAGCTAACCAAAACTTTACTGAGTCAATCACAGTCTCAAAATGCCCCGAAGATAACGAAAAAATATTTATTTGAGGAGAAATCTGCCATACTGTTACAAAACAATAATAACATATCGAAACTTAAAATTTAGAGATCAGAGAGTTCTCGCACACAAATAAGTACTGTACAATAACATTATATAACCAAAATCAATTGTAAGAAGTACCTGAGAATCAAGTGGCATATTCTCAACAAGGTGAGATTGAAACTCTGTCAGCAAGAATCAAACACCAACAGCTCCCACGGCGAGTGGAATGTTAGAATGACCTTGATTAACTTAAACAAAATCATATGGTAAACAACACATTACCATTTAGTTAGTTACTCAATTAGATAAATTTGTTCTTCAAAATGAATTTAGTTTTGACTAATTCATCATTTAGTTTAAATCTACCGAATTCAAGTACACACTCCGATGAGGATAAAAGTAGTTTCAAGGTGTTTTGTGCATATTATAGCAGTAGATTCTTCACCCGTGTAAAAACTGATCAAACGCCTTTAAAACGAGTGAAGATGTAGATAACCGGTAAAGAAACTTACCTCCTTTTCCATACCTACCTCCTGGATATGATAGAACAAACGTGGCAATTAATAGTTTCGAACTTCCTTAAGTAATTAGTTTGTGTTTTGCACAGTATGTTGATGAACGGAATGCTGTAATCATTTCAAATATTACATTTGTCTGTTTTAAAGGTGTCTCACAGAGCTGAGTGCGTCGATGGCACAGTGATTAGGACTCTCGCCGATCATGCACATGGTCCGGGGTTCGATCCCCTGCCGACGCACACCTGAAATCTATGGTTGGCCTGCAAAATTTGGGCTACCGATATCATATGCTGAAAATTCCACACCTGTACCAACAAATACGGTGTGGAGTCAAGCTGTAATAAAAAAAAAAGAAATGTCTGTTGCTCTGATTGTTATACTACGCCTGAAAGCACCCTTACTCGAATCTTCTTATATTCTTCTTGTAATTGCTGCCTATTCTCTATTTGAGGTTATTTAGCTAGCTGGGTGTACCTGCATCTGGTTGTTTCCGGTGTTTATACTAAAACCTATACGAAGCATTAAGTATTAAAATGTTTGAGGGTTATTCTGTAAAATATGAATTCACAATAATTACGTATTGTTAGTTCTTACTGTGGTTAGTCACTGTTAAAGTGACCAATATCTGTGTGTATGTATAAAACGAATAGATAATAATTAACAGTCTAAAATTTCACGCTGAAATATACGGACTGAATATCTGTAAGAGAAAAGATTTGCTTTTGAGCCTCCTATATTCGTAATCGTCACTTAAATTTTGAGTGAGCATCATTTTCCTTAAATATGTGGGGGATTTTGAACTAACCTCCAACACACACCGTTTCATTCTTTGGGCGTCGGTGGTGCAGGGATAGAATGCTTCCCAACTACGCATGTGGTACTGTGTTTGATCTCCCACTGGGGTACTCCTAAACCTCACTTAGTCAGCAGTAAACCCGTTAAAGAGGGAAGGTTGGACATGAAACTAGCAATCCCATCTCGTTAAAATAAGCGCCACTGCTGCTGAAACTTCAAAGCCCAAACTTGAAGCCCTAAATTCCACTGGGAACGTAAAGGAAGAAAATATAAATAGAATAAAATATCAGTTGTGAGATCTTCGTTACAAACCAACATCAGTTATAGAGATCACTGAAAACAGTGGAGCACCGGGTAGCTGTTTATTGACATTATAGGACTCTTCTTGAGTGCGGAGCTATGACCCGACTAAGGATCGAACCTCGGACCTTCAGATCACGAGGACCATTCAGCCACTTGGGCTGGATTCCGGAGACCTGTGGATTTCAACTTTGTCAACTCGTGATATGGAGCTACCCTCACCAATGCCTTCGATAAGCATTCACTTCACCGTGACACTGTGGAACCCACTAGTCACGACTTTCCACCGCAGCCTCAGGAAATCCATCCATAAGCCATCAGTGAATTGGTGATTGCTACTCAGACTACAGGATTTGTGGTTTTGATTGTGGTCTGCAATGATCTCTCTATCTGATGTTGGTTCGTGACGAAAATCTAACAGTTGAAATATGTAATCATTCTGAATGAGTAGTTTTTATTGCCTCATTTCATTAGCTCATTAGTAATTGATTTTTCATGTCTTCCGCTCTGAGTTGAACTTAAGGCTTCAAGCTTTTAAAGATTCAGAAGCGGTGATATTATTTTTACGGGGTAGGGTTGATGATTTCATGCATAATCTTACCCCCCCTCCTTTTTTGAGGGCTTAGAATGGGCTAGTAAACTTAGGCAGGCATAGTATTGCATCTGTCGGGAACCAAACCTGAGCCACAAGCGTGTTTAGTTGTAACCACTAAGGTGCAGCAAGTCGGGTGTGAGGACAAATACTCGCCGAAGACATTGGCTAGGGGTCGCGCTATGTCGTGAATTGGCAGAAGTTAGAATTCATGAGCCATTGGATTGGGTCTCAGTGGCTTAATGGTATACGAACTCGCTTTGTAACCAGGAGGTCCTGGGTTCGAACCATGGCGGTGGGTGCGTACTGATGAAGAGTCCCAAACTAGGACGAAACAGCTGTCCATTACTCCCAGGTTTTCCAGTTGTTCTCCAACCAATGTCAGCTCATGATGAAATCCTGTAACCAAACATTAAACTATTGAACCATCGACACATGTATTAATTATATATAGTCTTTTGTAAGATACCAGCCTTTTTATTGATTTGTTTCTTAATGTAGCCGAGCATTACCCCATCAATTCATTGAATTTTAGATTCAATTGTAAGCATTGAAAAACTACTGTATAACTGTATTTCTTTGATGTTTTGTTCTTTATAAAAGTTAGAGTGTTGGAAAACATTTTTCTTTTTCGATTCTCAGAGATGTCAATACATTTTTTGAGCTGATATAAGTGGGTGACGTCATCATTTCAAAAATGGAATCAGATAATGTTCAATAAAAAATTTGACTGAAGCATAAAAGACTGTTTGTGCGACTTTTAGTTTTATTGGCTTAAAGCAATGAAACTACAATTATCGATTTAATCATTCTAGAATGCGCTTTATCAGTAAATTTTAGGTTGCATATGACGGTACAACCTAATATTAGATAGTTATGAATTGTTATAATGAAGGTTCTTTTGTATTTCCCGATGAATGAAAAACAAAACGATATTGTTTTTAATGACGTTTCGCTATTTAATGCTAATAGCTTTATCAAAGTTATGAATTATGTTGATGATTTGATGAAAAGGTTAGTGTTTTTGACAACTTTATAAGCTAAACCCTTAACTTAGTAAGCAGCCTGGTAACCGATCAAATCAAAGATATGAGAAATATCGCTTCTGTTTTTGTAGGGATTTCGAGAGTTCCATGAGAGATAGAGTATTGAAATACCTATATAGTTCTTACGTAACAATAGTTAAATTCCTTTGTTTACCTTAAAGGTTTGAAAACGTCGGTGTAAAATAATTTCAGCTGTAGCGAGATTAATATGTAATTCACTAGTCATTTCCTTTTTTTGTAAAAGGTATTACTTTTTGTCCTGGCTATTATTTTTCGAGACTTGGGTTGCAGGGATTTGATTTGTTTGAAGTTCGATCATGAGCTGACATCAGTTAGAGAACTATTGTAAAACTAGAGAGTACTGGACAGCCGTTTCGTCCTAGTTTATGACTCTTTGGCAGTTCGAACCCACAGAAGTTCGAATCCAAGGCATTCCGGTGAGCTCGTAGACCATTCAGCCACTGGGAAACAACTCAATCACCCATGAATTATTACTTATTCCACTTCGTGATTTTAGCGTATCCGCCATCCAATGTTATCGATGAGTATTGCTCCCCACTCCCAACATGGTGGATCCCACTGTTCACACCTTTTCACAATGGCCTGTAGTCGCGCTAAATTCATAGATTAGTACAAGTTGGGATTTATAAGCCAGTTGAAACGGGTTCCAGTGGCTGAATGGTTTTCTAGCTTGCCTTGTAACCGGCAGGTCTTGTGTTCGATCCCTGTTGGGCTCGTACTTCTGAAGATTCCCAAATTGGGACGAAGTGGCTGTTATTTATTGAATCCTAAGATCCCACAAATGGATGTACTTTGAACTGAAATAAAATCACAAAACATGAAACATTAATCAGTAGCTCGTAAAGTCTGTTTACTGCTAATTTTACTACGCCATATGCCTTGAAGTTTGTGTGACACTTGAATTCTAACCAATATTTATTCGCTGAGCCGTGCAACACAACAATTCAGTGGGCATTAGAAAATGGGCAGTTACATCAGTTATCACTTTGTATGTAGTCGTCTTTTATAGGATCTTTTGCAAAACACTATGTGCTAACACACGTTCTTTGTAGGCGAATTTCTCAATAAAATGTGTAGTGAAGAACTTAACACCTACCACTACTTTATACCAACCAGTTAACTGATTCGTATTCACATTAATATTGTGTCTGTTACCTACTGTGTATTTGCACCAGGAATTCTACGGGAATTTATCGCCAGACGAATAGTTACATTTATGTAATTGTCTAGTACTGGTTGATTTAAATACCACAATGATAAACGCAGTGACTTCAGCAGTGAATTCTACAGATTAAAGTCTTGGAATGAGCACGGAATTTCTCTCTCAGCACTGCAAATGTACCATGTTGATTAACGCCAGTGTGTTTACAAGACCTGAGTTAAAAGCCTTTGTCGGTCAACTTCCACCAGTTTATGTTACTCAGTGAATAATGGTATTGACGATTAGTCCTTTGGTTGTAATTCACCTAATCTACCTAAAGATGTATATTTTGTCCATGGAAGGAAGCAGATATCCGTGTATATCACTATTAAATAGTACAGCTGTATCTGTTAGGATTCTTCTTTTTAGGAAAACCACATTGTAATTGCTTTATCATTATTGATCGTATTTCACAGTATACTATAATATTTCGTATAAATATATATCTACCCAACAAGTATGACGTTGGAAATATTTATTTCCTCATACGAATTTAAAACAAGCAACAAAAGTAAATAAAGTAGGATTTAATGAATTCATCAAATTTCAGTAGAACTCTTTAGCTAAATACGTTACATACAGGGATATATATACTATAGGGAATACAGTGGGAGATATGAGATTGGCAAGCAAATAAACTACATTGAATTAGTCATGCAGAAAGACAGGTGCGAATGTTTTCCAGGTCATTTTCAAATAGATAAGGGGAGAGGGAGTATAGGAGATTGAAATTAAGATAAACTGCATTATGCTTCAACTACATCACTTAGATAAACAATTAGTCATTAGAGAATATATCAAGAATTGCAAACAGAGTAATATCAGTAGTAATAGTTATAAATATATTAATATATAATAATAATAATGCTGAAGTGAGTTAAGATAATGCTACTGATAAAAGAGTTTTAAATGAATCATGAATAATAATAAGATGTAGAATAATAAGTAAAACTTATTACCATGGTAGATTCAGAGTGACGACCATCTCCTTTTGTACACAGAGACCTGGTTTATAAACTCGAATTGCACAAGCCTCTGCAATTGCAAGCATCTTCCTGTTTCTTTGTTGCCTGACAATAGTGAATGACTTGACAGCGTCGATATCATGTCCATAGTCCACAAGATGTTTTGTTATTGAGGATTTGGCACTTTGCGTTCAGCTGTTGTCAACCACTTTGGCAAATGCTCCATCATGCAAGTAGACAATCGTCTTTCTGTGCGACCTATGTATTTGCTTCCACAAACACACTCAAATTGATGTGTGCAGTTTGAAATGTCGAGGATTAGCGGCTGGTCTTTCCCAGATTGTTGAAGCACTCGCTTGGTGATGTTAAGGAAATCAAGTTTTGCAGCTTTACCGAGTCTTCGTTTGACTACTTCTTGTACATCAACTCCTTTGAATGGCAAACTGATATAGACAGATTTCTTCGGAACTGTTTGGATTGTTTTGCAGGGGCTCATTTCTTGAGAGTATTTATTAATGAATTTCTCAGGATATCCATTCTTAGATAAAATATCTTTCAGAGCTTTTATTTCATGCTCAATTGTACTGTCAGAACAAATTTTCCGTGCTCTATTGAACAGTTCTCTGACTAAGTTCTTTTTATACTGGATTGGAACAAATCCTTTGAAATGTATGTACTGTCCTGTCCATGAAGATTTTCTGTATCTAATAATGTATTTCCAATAGTATATATGTCCCTGTATGTAGAATATTCAGCTGAAGAGTTCTACCGAAATTTGATGAATTCATTAAATCCTACTTTATTAACGAATGGCATTGCCCACCAGGCCCTCGAGTGGAATCCCAATGGGAAACGACGAGTGGTGCGTCTGAGGGTGACAAGGAAGAGATTCAAGACCATGGGCAATCGTGGGGTTGGCTAGAAAGGACTACTGAAAATAGGCTGGAGGGGAGAAGTTCTGTTCTGTGTTCCAATCAGGACCCCAGGGTACAATAATGTCTAGCACGGTCATTAGATTTAAGTGTATGAAGCTGTCTAGTTAGTTTGGTGTATGATTTAGTCACTAGTATGACTCTTGCAACATATATACTCATTATATCTCACTTATTTAGGTTTGATTTTCTAGGTGTCAACATTTGCGTGCCGAGTAAAACTGGATAGATTTACGGAATACTTCAGCATATATATATATATCCAACCGATAGCTGCTACCTTGACGTCGTGGTCGGGCTTGCGTATCGCGATGACCCGACAAGCTACACTGGCTGGAACTATTGTTCCTGCAGGTCCTACCATTCCAGGAAGTTTGTTAGGATAGCGATTATACTAAAAGCAGTTACCGGCTTAGTGTAAGAATTTGTACTGCTGGGGAACAGGGATGTAACAACAGTAAGGTGTTTCCCTCAGATGCCCAGCATGCCAGCTATGCTGTCTCTTAGATCTGGAGAGGATGGGTTAGAAAAGGTAGACCCCAAAAATTGTACATCTCGACTTACCCTACGGTGGTCCATAACCGGCGGTTAGTTTACTAATACGGAACCAATCTAGGAAACCAGTTCATACAGGCCGTGTCTGACCTACCTCAAGCAGTTGTCCCCTGCGCTCTGCGGTCACGCAACACTAACTCGCTTTCTGTTTCAGGTACCCGAAGTCAGTTATATATATATATATATATATATATATTAGGTACTCTATTTCACTGTCACAACTTATCTGTTACTGTCATCATATACTGCTGATTGCTTATTTTCTCTGTCTCATTTTATTACATTAGCCATGGTGAACTATCCCAGTAATTGCGTAAAGTAACACTGTTTTTAGTTTACACTAACCTAATTAACTTCTGATAAATGCCAGCCCCCCTTACCCACCTTCCATATTGGTATCTTGCAAGCGCACATTGAATGTTTTCTCAAGCAAAAAAAATACACGTTAACAATGAGTATTCAATAATCTTGAGGAACGAGGGTTTTGCTTTTTTTGCCTTCAGTGAAGAGTTTTCTTCACATCTATTTCTGCGTGTTATTTTATACTTAATTTTATTTAATATGCCTTAATAGTTTGTTTTTTTTTGGTTTTACGATTTGTTCACATCTGTTATCCAGTATTTTCACTACAGATTGTTGTTTTCTTACAGAGTTCAGCACACACACAAGACACAACATTTGCTTATGTTTTTTAAAATTATTTTTGTAATTCTTACTTATTTTTTATTATTTTGTAACTGTTACAATATATGTGGACAGTATATTTGAATGGTAGTCGGTAATTGGTTTTCAGATTGTTACTACTTCATGATACACAATATCACTGAATTCAGTTCGTTCATGCTGTTATCCCTGACTACTATGACTGCATGCTGAAGAATTATTATTACTGTTATTCCCTTAGGTTTCGAGTGGGACATAGGACTTCTACAGCACTTCTCCATTTTATTCTGTCCTCTGAAATCCTCTTCATGCGGCTCCACAATTGCCCATAAGCCTTTGCGGCCTTTCCACATGATCTACTCCATGTCACTCTCGGAACTATACCCAGTTTGGCGTTTCCCATTCGGGTCTCACTTGAGTGATGGCCTGGCGTACTATGTCCTCCAACGGTCTCCTCAGTGTGTGTCCAATCCATCTTCATTTTCTTCGTGATATTTATTGATCAGTAGATTCTTGATTGTTTTGTCCCCAGAGGTCATTGTTGCTAATTCTTTCTAACCGGCCTTATGTTCTTCAGTAAGGAGCCAGCGATGGCAGCTGTTGATAATTGTTTGCAGTAGCCTTCTGAAAATGCTCTTCGTGGCACGCGAGCCAAGTTTCTGACCCATATAGAAGAAGTGACTTAACATTGGTCTTGTGAATCCGAATTTCGTTGTTTATGGTGGGTGCAGGAGACTTCAAAACTGATTTCAGAGTGATGAAATGAAAGGAATTATTACCGTTAACTATCATTAGAAAATAGAAAGTCCTAGCTAGTTACTCTTTAACTCTTCTGTAAATTTCTGACTTTTGTATTATTACATTTGTTTGTTTTTTGCTGTGGAGTTTGGTGACCCATAGTCTAGTAGACATTGGTGAGAATTTCTCTGGTGGTAAGTCAGTAATCTGTACTAAGACACTTCTTGTTTCTTGGATAGTTATGCAATGCTGCTTTGTTTAGATTTAATACTGTTCTCATCATTTTTGTTGCTACATTTTGAACAGTCTAAGGAATGGTAAAGAAACTCAGTGTATTGTAGTTCCATATTAGTTAACTCGATGACCACATTTCATGTTTGATCAGTAGATTTTGATCAGGGCTTAAGATTCAATTATTACATCGTTTACCATCTGATGAATCATTTGTTTGATGAAAACTGTTTTGTTGAAAACATTAGCTTTATTGAATATCGTTGTTCCAATAATCGTCTCATTTCGCCTGTTAGCAGTCATTTGCAGTTACTTCATGGCTTTGAGAAATGGCAATTGAATGAGGAGTATATAAAAGGACTAACCTGTCTCTATGGTTACAGGTGTTTGCCTTCTATCTCCCGTGTTAAGCGGTATGTATAAAATGGTGAGTAATATTTAGGTTAGGCGTAGATTGCTAGGAAAACAAAGGAAGTCAATCAGTGGGCCCGTGAAGATAGATACATCGATGGAGATGGCTAGGACACGTGTTACGCATGCTGAGCCACCTCATTTCTTGACGACTAATGTTAAATGACATAAGATCAGGTTGCAAAAGGACTAAACGGTGGTCATACGAAAACCTATCGTCAGTCCGTGAAGTCTTTGACAGTTAAATTGAGCTAGTCATGTAAAAAGGTAGAGACTGTCTGGTTGGGGTCCTCAGGACCTACGGTGTGGGACTGTTTGTGATATGGCACAGAATCTTTCTCAGTGGCGTAAATTTATTCACTCTTTGTAATCTCCCTCTCTGTAATTATTCTTTCTCCAGCACATTTACTCTTTTTGTAGCTCTTCTGAATTAGCTTCCTCTCTGTTTTGTCTACCTTTGTGTGGTACATGGAATGTGGTCACCTGAACTGATGCACTACAGTGGAAAACTTTTTGCGATCATCTCGGGAGTTCAAACAAATTCGATTTAACTTAATTTCTTCTTACGAGATTTATACTTTTCTCACAGTAATCAATAATTCACATGAACTGCGATCAAGATTTGACTGAATAGTTCCAAAATAATTGGGCACCGAGTGAGAAGTAGACATTTGTAAAAATTATATTTGTAAAATCTCAGCGAAATTGAAATGAGAAATTCCAACGTTTACTGCATTCGGCAAACTGGTCCGAACTTTTTCAGGGAAATTAATCGAAATTAACATAACAGACGTTTATATATAAAAAGGACGAAATGCGTATCCTGGATTCCACTGCTTGTCACCATCCACCAATTAACTTCTAATTACATGCCTAGACATCGTCGAAGCATCTGCACAAGAAGCCGACATGTCAACCTGAGACTGATCACTTCGGTCCATTCAATCGACGGGAAAATCTAAAATTGAATTAAATAATTAATATGACCCGTTGCACAAGAGGTGGCTCTCATGGCTCAAGTGGTCTAGTGGATAACGCTTTGGCGTTTAAAACTATGGGCAGTGGGTTCGAGCTTCAGTGGGAACATCATCACTCACTGCGTAATGCAGGTACATCCAGATGAAGAATCCCAAATAGGACGAAATGCGTATCCTGGATTCCACTGATAGTCACCATCCATCAATTGACATTTATTGTTTTTATAAACTTTGTCCAGTCATATGAGTCATGAAACAGGTATCAACATGTATAATAAACAAAATTGCATGAGCTGTAATCAAAATTTGACCTCAGACTTTCATATATCAGTCTACTTTTGCTAAACACTTTAAACAGAATGTACTTTTCATCAGATTACGTTCTTCTAAGAGTTCATGGTCGTAGACAACTGAATACGAAGATATACGTGTATATGCAGTATACAATGGTGTGTGTGTAAAACATTTGTTAGCCTCTCCATAACAAGAGATATAGACAATCGGGAATTTAGACCAAGTATGATTAATTAGTCATACATATATCTATCAATTTTTTTATTTATTAATCAGGATTTGCTGTGCATCAGCTAATATCACACCTTCACGTCTGCTCAAACTGTTGAGATTCACCCATTTATGTAAGGCTTCTGCAATATTATTACGTAAAGCCTGAGTGATTCATTGTGGTTAGCTAATTACTTCACATTCACTATTCACAATTGCTGCTGTTTTTTGACTTTTACCTGCTTATAACAAAAAAGTGAACTAAACTAAACTAAATCCAACTAATTTTTTTATGAATTGTTGTGCATCAGTCATTGTGTCGAAAAACAATATAAACTAAGTTTTCTTATCAATTAAATTTCAAAAAGTATTGACTGAATGAAGTATATATATATATATAGTTTTTCGAATAGAGAATAACACATTGGTCTTTAGCCTAATACCTGTGTTTTTCGTTGTTGTGGTTTTTGTTGTTCTTGTTGGTTGATGTACAGCAAAACTTCTTGCCTTGAAAATGTTCAATCAAAAAAAATCGATTGATTAATAGTTGGCTTAGTTAGGCTATAAGTGGCGTGACTGTTTTTTTTACACATATAACTGTCACTTTTTTTGACTACTTTTAATATACAAATATTTAGGCTGATTTATGTCAATCAGAAGAAGAATTAAAGTGTGTCATTTTATAATTGTAGTTCGATAATATATGGAGTTGAATTTTGTAACAGATATCTGTACAGTACATTTATTATTATTATTATTACATGTGAACTGATTATTTATGCAATATGCGCAATACAAAAAAATTTTCAAAGACTGTTTAATGAACAAAGAATATTCTTTTCGATAAATTCGTCATCAGCTTCTACATTTATATGACGATAATGATAATAACAACAACACTGATGTTTTGAATTACATTAAAATCAATAATATTGACAGATTATAGTTCAAAAGCATCAGTAAGAGAGACAGATAATAGGCATTAATATAACACTAGACTGAACATTGTGTGCGTCGGTGGTATAGCGGTTAGGACGCTCGCCGACCATGCACATGGTCCGGGGTTCGATCTCTGGCCGACGCACTCCTTTACCTCGCTAAGCTAGAAATAATGCTGGTGAAGAGGAATGGTTGGGCATGAGGCTAGCAACCCTATCCTGTAAAATAATAAACACTGCTACAGAAACTTCAAGCCACTAGCTTGAAACCTTATGTTCGACTGGGGAACGTGAAGGAAAAAAAAGGACTAAAATTTGATAGATTAAGGGAAATGCTACAGAATTTAAGAACTTAAAGGTTTGATAGCACACCAGGGTAACAATAGTGACTGGAATTTCTTTTTCATATATAGCTTCGGTTGATTTAAGCAAATAGCAATGCTTTTTGCTGTTTGCAGTGTTTGGTATCTAGAGGTCTCGGATACTTTATTCCGTAGTGAATAGGTGATTGAGAAAGACTCTTCAATGCCAGCTTTGTCATCTGTTTGGACGAGGTGATTCAATAGGAAACTTATTGAATATTTACCACTTTAGTAATGACCATTTCTGAATGCTATTGGTCACATACTAGTATATTTGTTATGTTCAGCAGGGGTAAATTATTTTACACAATTTATTTCCTTTAATCTGTTGAGTACTCATCTTTTGAGTACTAATCAGAAGGGAAATGTGAAACGAGATTTAATCATAATTCAAAATGGTTATCTACAGAACGGTGGCTTATCGACTAGCTGTATTTGCTTTTAGATAGTGACTATTTAAGTGTTCTGAAACTCACTTCTATGCTTGTACAGAACGGCTGACTGAATTTCACTCATAGGTTGAACATTACCGCAAAACTTGAATTCAACGATCAAAGGGTTATTAAGAGGTTGTTGGGAAGGTTGTTCACTGATCCACACTTTTTTTTCTATCCCACTTAAATCCCTAAAGGAAACCATTTAGAGCGAAATCAATTGATTTTTACGAAAACCGATCATTGGTTTACACTTTCTCTTTGCTAGCATTCATTTCATACAACCAACCTTATTGCTATCGATGTATATTTATTTTCTTGTTACATAATAGAGAAAAGGCAAGCTTGATAACTGGTAAACACATGTAAATTATAGTGGCATATGATCCATTGTGTTTAAAGTGCATTTGTCATACAATAATATGAATTATATTTATACTTAAATTCATCACATTGGTAAGGATGATGATAATAATGTACACCACAGAATATATTCTTTTGATCATTATAATTGTAATGCCTTTTTTAGGCTATCTAAAGTTTTACATATACGGAAACACCAGAAATTCAAATGCAGATGAAGTATGTTTTAGTGTAAATAAAATTGAAAGAAAAGTAATCTGGTAGTATAGTTTTCATACTAACAACATTCACTGTCTTGTTAATGCACTGCTGAAGATGTTCGCCTACGCCAGTGTGCTTAGTCTAGACTAACCCTTGTTCTTATTTGTTCACTGTTTCCTCAATTTCACTGTATATCTTACTGTGTTATTATCTGTATTCAGTAGTAAATCAATAATGCACTGATGAATTGCATGCTAGCAATGTACAGATAACACCAGGATGGACATATTTCTCTACTAATTTTCTACTGGTGCTCAGAAATGATAAACGCTTGCATGTATATATATATATATATATACATGATTGTAATTGTCACAAAATTATTCAAGTTCCTATGT